TTACTGCCTATTTAGAAAGCTGTCATGTTATCCACATACGCTGTTATGAGTGGTAACTGTTGCTCTGACAGAAGCCTTGCTCCTCCTGCAACCCATCTAGATGTTCTAATAATAACCTCCATTGCCATGGTAAACACTAGCGGTGAGACTGTGTGATGTGATGCCTATCTCCACTTGCTGCCAAGCTGTAGTTGTCAGGTTTGCCCGGCTGCACCTGCCTCTCTCACCTCCCTTTCTTTGTTTTCAATTCCTGATTACGCCACATCGCACACCTGCCACACATCCCTTAATCAACACCACCCGCATTCACTTAGTCCTTCACTCTACTTAAGCCCAGCTCGCATATCATTCTCTTGCCAGTTTGTCGCTGCTTCCATGCCAAAAACCTGTGCCACTTTGTCCAGATCTTCTTTGTGCTTTTACTCTCGCGTCACTAGTAAATGGTAAATGGACTGTATTTATATAGCGCATTTCCACAGTGTGTTACACTGGCCAAAGCGCTTTACAGAGATGATACACCATTCACCCATTCACACAGAACATTCACACACTGATGACGACAGCTGCCACACAACGGCGCTAATCAAGCCACCAGGAGCACCGAACCACCGACTTGCTGGTCAGGAGACGACTGCCCTACCTCGTGAGCCACAGCCACCCCCTAGTAGTTTTTTCTTTGCACTCTGATTATCACCTGCTTTTCCTCCAGTTTCTTGCTACACCTCTCCTGCTCCTCCTCACTATCGCTACCATTGATTACCATCTCTGGACCATACACCTGATTGCCCTCCCAGTCTCCACCAGCCAGGTCAATGCACAGTCCTACAAACTGCCTCCATTCACTACCAACCTCTACTCTGTCTCCTCAGTCTGTTCCATCTCCACCAGCCAGCCAGTGAGTGTTTTCTGTTCCACAGCTCGGCCCTCCTTCTCCAAAGTCCCCATAGTACTGTTACCATGCTGATTGATACCTGGTTCCTTAGACTTTCTTTTCAGTATTTATGTATTGTATGTCCACTGTACTTGTAAATATTTGTATAGCACTGATTAAATTAGCTTGCATGGAAGTCAGCCCTTTGGGTCCGTTCTTTTCCGCTCTCTCACCCTCCCATGGGTGAGCGAATCCTATCACCAATGGTAATTTGGTCCCTGTGCATATGGTAATTTCCTAATGCACATTCTTTTGCTTGTTGATATGCACGTTCACATTGAGAGCCCCTGTACCAGAGTCAAATTCCTTGTGTGTCCAACACACCTGGCCAATAAAACTGATTCTGATTCTAAAAGGGCTCTATTTTCATACTGGCACACAGCCTGATATGTGGTGGTACATCACTGAATTGCTATTTTCCTGTGGCCCGATGAGGTTTATTCCGTGACTGCCTCAATTTGGGTGCTGTCACTGTTTATCCCAGTGGATGGAGAGGTGGAAAAGAGATTTTGGCAATGTAAAATTATGACAATAATACCATAAGTCTTACAACTCTCTAGTACATGACAGTAAGTTGTCTATACTGAAGGTTGTTCTTTTATTCAGGTGCCTCTCTTTAACGCCATTTAAAGGCAGCA